GATTGCATACATTACAGGGTATCTCTTAGTTGAGTAATCGTCTAGACGATTTTGTATTAGATGAATTGTTATGTTGATTTCACGTAAATCTTTATCAAGCTGAAATTTTATTGAAATATGTCCCATACAGGGTATCTAACTGTCGTGCTATAGCACAGTCTGCGGGTGATAAATGTCCAGAGCATATACGACTTAAAGTGAAAGGAATAAACGACTTACAGGGTATATATAGCTGTCCGCATTGACAAAATAAATTTACAGGGTATAGCACTAGTCGAGCAATTGAGTTGTCGCCCTGAGATCTTCAACACTTTTGTTGTTTCTCTTGTCAACAGACACTCAACAACAACAGCTAGTTGTGGGCGTGGCTGCTAGTGGGGCAACAGAAAGGTGGCCGAGGGAGTCGGCTGGCTGGATGGGGCGTGTGGGCGTGGCAGCCGGTGGTACTAGGCTTGACGCACGACGTTTCGACGGCGCGCAAATAAAATCTCTTGGCCACAATTTTGAATAGCATTGTTTGTTTCTTGTTGCTGTCACGCCCCATTTATATACCTTTATGTGCTATATACATATATACCGATATACACATATGTATGTATTTATATATCACATACATACGCTCAATTAGTTTGACTCTGCGTTAGGCTTAGGCCGCACCTCGAAAGGCGCCAGAGCCAAGCGAACCCAACCCAACCCAACCGAGCGCCCCTAACCCAAATCCCCCTCCCCCCGCTTTGAGCCAACGACCCCACCTCCTTGCAGCCCCCTTTTTAACTGGATCAGCTACTAGGCGTGCGCGACAATTAACTGTGCAAACGTTACGAACTATCTCTCAATTGCTCCCGTCACAAAAAAAAAAAAAAAACAAGTAAGAAAGCTCTAGTCGAGACTACTCGACTACGAGATCCCCTGAACCCTTGGAGTAATAGCTATTTCAATCATTTTTCGCGTCTTTCAGCTTACACAAGAAACACGCACACACACACACACACACACACGCACGCACACACACAGGCATACATACACACACATACATACACACATACACACACACACACACACACACACACATACACAAACAATTACATACATATACACACACAAGCATAAACACGCATGGGCGGCAGTGAGCGCTTACTATGAGAACTTAATTGCTTAATAACTTTTTTGTGGACGTACGATCTTCTTATGACATGGATATGCATGTAATTGCCAAAGCACAAGTCTCTAGTATTTGAAATACGCTTTTTACAAAAGTGAGGGTGAGGGGGTGAATTTAAGGGTGGGGGGTAAATTTTAACAAAAACCGAAATTATATAAATTGCATATAAACATACATTAAAAATTTGGAGACTCTAGCAATAAAGGTGTAGAAGATATAATTTTATAACTGGTTTTCGATAAGGTTTTTTATCGATAAAAAAAGATCGGGATGAGTTATCGATTTTTAATGATAAACTTGATATGCGCGCTGTAATTACGAACATTTAAAAAAAATTTGAAGTCTCTAGCTCTTATATCTTCTGAAATCGACGCGTTCATACATACGGACAGACGGACGGACGGACAGACGGACAGACGGACAGACAGACGGACAGGGCCAAATCAACTCAGCTCGTCGCCCTGATCAAGAATATACAGAGGTGGTCAAAAGTAATTACACACCGAGCTTTTTTCTGCATGCTCAGCTTTAAAAGCTTGTTGTTGTTGTTGTTGTTCGCTGTTTTTGAAAAAAAGCTTTTGTGTCATAAAGCTTATTCTGTGTAGAAGCGATCGGCAAAAAGAAATTGCTAAAATAACGGTACAGGTTCGTAGATATAGCAAAAAGAACAGTTACCTAGAGGTTGTCAAAAGTATTTACACACATTTTTTTTGCGTCATAAGTATTTACACAAAATTTAAACATTTTTTAATGGCATTAATTAATGTTATTTATTTTTAATTTTTGTTGAACATAATAAAGGGTTTATTTATTTAATTTAGTATTTTGTCATTCCCCCTTTTTCGTCAATTACAGCCTGAAGCCTGGCTGGAATTGATGTTACCAATGATCGGGCGAAGTCAACTGTGAGCTCCGACCATATTCCGGTAACTTCCTGAATGGTATCATCCCGTTTCCGGTCCTTTTTGAATAGCCGTTTGGATTTTATTAAAGCCCAAACATTTTCAATAATGTTAAGGTCCGGACTTTGCGCAGGCCAGGGCAGGATTGCTTGATCTAAGTCCGCCAAAAACTTGGTGGGTATTGAGCCTTTGTGGCATGGAGCATTGTCTTGCTGCAATACCCATTCGATTGTTGGAAATAGTTTGTTCGCCTAAGTAAAAGCATTGTCATTTAATATGTGCAAATATCGTGATTGGGTCAGAGTGCCCTCTATTGGCACAAAATCTCCAAAACCATAGTACGACATGCAACCCCAAAACATTACTGTGCCATCTCCAAACCTGCTAAGAGGCTGCACTGCAGTTTTTTTATTTTGTCGACTTAAATGCATAAAAGTCTTTCGAAATGAGCCTTGAAACTGAAATGCAACCTCATCTGTCCACAAAATGTTGTACCAAAACTCCAAAGGCTTTTCAATGTACTCTAAAGCAAAAGCAAGACGTTTTGCTTTGTTTGCTTCCGAGATATCAATGATTTTTCGGACGACATAGGTGTTTATGTCAACATCCTTTAACCTTCTACGAATAGTAGCATCACTGACATGTTTACCAATTATCTGTTGTGATGCTGCAGACACTTTAACTGGGCTTATCTCGGGGTTTTCTACGAATGTGCTGACAAGTCTTCTGCATTCCCTGGTGTTCAATGCTGGCTTTCGCCCACTTCGGTGTAAATTATTCAAATTTCCAAGTGTATCCCTTTTGTTAACCAAGTTATACACCGTTTTTCTAGATATTTTGAATATCTTTACCAACTCCGATGCCCCAACACCACTCTTAAACTTGGTTACGATCTCGGATCTTGTTTCGACTGATAGTTCCTTTGTTTTTACCATTTTACAGCACATCTACAATTTCAACTACAAATTGAATTCCGATCTTAGTCAAAGACCGCACATGATCAACGCAAATCAAAGACTAAAGGCAAATTTACATTGTGTAAATACTTATGACGCAAAAAAAATGTGTGTAAATACTTTTGACAACCTCTAGGTAACTGTTCTTTTTGCTATATCTACGAACCTGTACCGTTATTTTAGCAATTTCTTTTTGCCGATCGCTTCTACACAGAATAAGCTTTATGACACAAAAGCTTTTTTTCAAAAACAGCGAACAACAACAACAACAACAAGCTTTTAAAGCTGAGCATGCAGAAAAAAGCTCGGTGTGTAATTACTTTTGACCACCTCTGTATATACTTTGTGGGGTCTGCCACGCCTCCTTCTGCCTGTTACATACATTTCAACAAAACCATTATACCCTGATTTCCCATTGAAAATGGGTTCAGGGTATAAAAAAAAAAACCAAAACTGATTGAAAAACTAAACAAAGCCAGAACATTGCAGTCGGGCATATCCGATTGTGAAATGCTCGTGTTTAAGACCCAAATAATTACATTTAAGTACGTCAAGTCTGTCGTAGCTGAATAATCTGCGGAAATATCTGTAGAGTAGGGCAGTATCATAACTTTTCGTACCCAAGCCCAAGCCAAATATCATATTATATACATGTATCGTAATATTAAGCCCTTGATTGAGACCAATATACTCATTTTCGACTTCGTGAGCGAGTATGAAAATACGTGATTTGGTCCAACACAATTACGATTGACCAATCAGACAATGAGTCATGCCAGTGAATAGGTTACGTATATTGTGAATCGATTAATGTCTATCGAACAGCGAATATCGCAGATAGTATTAGATATATCGTACATCCTATTTAGTAATATATTGTATATTATATGCCTATCGTTTATTATATATGCTATCGATAGCTGATTCCAGCATTGATCGATGACATAGCTATCAGAGATCTTTCCCATGTATTCTGTGCCTGGTCCTTAGCAGTTTCTGTAGCATCTGGTTTCTATCTCCTCAACATGGCGCCAACTAGACTTCACCCAGATCGTGTCAAGACGTCCCATTTCTTGTTGCTCTCGGCTAATTGTTGCTGTTAATTGCAACTGAATTTGCATTAGTGCCCGGGTTCTCGGGCCCCCATTCGGAAACAATCGTTAGAATCATAAATATACAAATTTATGCTCACTGCGATGCGAGAAGGGCTCAATTTATGCAACTGGGTGGCACTTTTCCTAGACAACAGCTGAGAGCTGAGAGCCAGCAGCCTTTCGCTTGATGATGGCCCTCATTTGTGGATGAGATCAGAACATGCAAGCGATATACATATATATATATACAATATCTAAGCATATCTATGTAAAGTAATTGGACAGAGGCTGACGCTGCCTTGGCCTTGCTTCGACTTGCTACGACTTGCTTTGACTACCTTTTAAGGCTCGCCCACATCAATTGCTTGACTCACACAGAAATTGCCCACAAATTGAGCAGCAAATTAACACGATTTCGATTCGAAGGCTGCGAACTACGGGTGAAGACAAAACAAAAGATAAGAAAACAGCATCAGCCAAACGCCGATTGGGGCCATCATCGGAATTGGCCGCAAACGAATCACAAATCACAAAGGCGACATGTGTTGAGAATTCATAAATACCCATTGCGAATGGCTAACTAGGGTATAATCAAGCTGTGAAAATAGGCCTGGCTAATAGTTAAGTTGGCCTACAGTCCAGCTGATCATGTCAGAGAGAGAGAGCAGGCCAATCTGTCTCTTGGTCTCGCATGATGGTTATCGATAAATATCGATATCAGACTATGAATGTATATGAGATAAATACGTACATTCTTAAGGAATTTACTTTAAGTTTGCTTCATATGATCGATAATTTGCGTGTAATCGATAAATCGATAGTATATTATTACAGGTAATTCTTAACACATAGAAGTCTATAGAGTAGCATAGGCATATGAACTCACCTGAACGGCGCAGTTGAGGAAACAATTGTTCTGTCCTGGTCCATTGAGCAGACCCTTCGACGAGGGCTCCAGTGTGGGCGAGGTGAGATTGTTGGGCGCTCGCAGCAGCTCCAGCAGGCGGCTGCGCTCCGCTCCATTTTGAACGGCGCCGGCGGCAAATGCCTTCGGCTGATAATGAGCCGCTGCGGCAATGGGCGTGGCACCACTCGCACCGCTCGACGGCCGGTAGAGCGAGCTGGCGGTCAGGGGCGTGCCATGGGTGGCCATTGTGCGTGCGGGGCAGCTACCACTGATTGCGACGCCTATGGCTGGCATCCGAAAGGCCCCACGATCTCTCACAATGTCAGGCGCTCAATCTCTGGCGACGCTCGCTGCTGGCATGGCGGCTGCACGTGGGGGCTGGGGGAAGGAAAGAAAAGACAACAATCAGAATATGACAGCTTAATGTGACGACGCCCGCACCTCCGCATCGCTCGAATGCCAAAGAAAACAAGTTAAGTGTGTTGCCGGTGCACTCTGGCGGCACGACTGGCAGATACCCAGTAACAAACACATTAGCGTAGGCCACCTAACAGTGGCTTGCTCTGGAGAGAAAAGTACCGAAGACGATAACAGACTTTGTAGCATGCACACTCTGACAGTCGCATATACTCCATGTACACGTTTGCAGCGAACACAGGGTATGCATGTGCGAAGAGCCGCCGTCTTCTCAAGTCGTGACGGCTGCCGTGTCGCTGGCAATTAGCCGTCTCTGAGAATTCCCGCAGCACAAACAAAATTATAAACACGGCCAATGTGGTGGCTCGTTCCATCTTCCACTCCAACTTCCACTTCGACATGCGCTTCACATCTTGCAGACCAAACCGGACCACAGTGAAAGTTCCCGCATATCAGAATGTAAGCAGCTATGTGGGCCAAGCTCGACTTGAGAAGCCGGACGGACGCATTGCCCACTTCTGATTATGCAATTGCCTCAATCGAAACGCATTCGCATTCATTCGCAACTCATTCATGAACGCATCGCAAAACGAAAGACTTAGACAACAAACTTGACTCTCTGTACGTTCGGGCTCAACGCATGACGCGTAAATGATTTCGAGTTGGATTCGATTAATTAGCCTGAGTTGCACTATGAATATATTGTATATACTATTATATTAATTGTGTATTCATATCTATATGGATTTTATATGTCTCTTTTATATACTTCCTACAACAGAGATACAATAGATTTTGTCCATCGGTTATCTCTGTGAATAAAAAAGCTCTTTCAATCGAGTAGCTGTCCTACAATGTCGAGTCATCTTGAACAGAGAATCTATTACAATGGAGAATCTCTGTCGACAAACAGTCTTCTTTTCAACTGATGATCCCTTTCAATCGAGTCAGTCAAACATATCTTTCAATCGATAATCAATTTCGATTTAGAATTGTTTTCAATCGAACCATTAGCAGTATACCATTGATCATTATAATATAGATATTGTTGGTTGGTCCTATATCTATACATCTTATTGAATCTCTAACAAATCTTTCACATTTCTTAGTTTTTACTTCAAATGAAAGCCTATTCTCTTCATTCCATTCCATTATATCATAGATACCGCATACGCATGCACATACATGTATATCTTTATATAGTATATGTAGCTTCTTCACCTCACAAAGTTCAAGTGCTTTAATGCTTATGCTAATTGTTAAATGGCTGCAGCGTTGCTAATTGCCACATGCCACATGCTGCACTAGCCACAAACGACCACAAGCTTGAAATGAAAAGAAGCCCGAGTATAGCAATCCGCGCTATACTGACTGCCCAATGCTCGTTCACCCTTCAGCAAAAGTTTAACTGATGGGCAATCGAAGCCCCTCACCTCTGCCTAAGAATTCGACAGCAAAGATTAAAAGTGCCGAAAAGAATCTCTGAAACTGCTTAGCGATGCAGTTACAATATTTCACTCAGCCCATATGCCCGCTTTAGATTAGCTGAGCGAGCATAAAGAACGCTAATGTGAATGCACCTGTTGCTCAGGTGAAGAAGCCGCTCGTTTGCATACTAATCGAGGCGCTGTGCGCTCAGCGCTTACCAAATGTTATGATGGGGCATGACTGAAGCTTGAACTGAATGGGAGGGGGAAGGGGGCTGATCGGAGAGGGGCGAGCAGATGGCAGCGGCAACTGTTGACTGGTCAGGCATTTCAATTGCCTCGATTGTTGCGTGCAACTGCAACAATTTGTGGCAAACGCAATTTTCGAGACTGGCAATCAGCATGCACATGTGATCTAGCATGCATATGACTACATACATATATATATATATATACAGTTATTTACACACATATCGATTTACAATATCATTCGGCTGCCTGATTAAAATTCTTTAGAAATTGCAGCTGACATCGACTCAATATCAACATCAACATCAAAGGCGAAAGAGCTGGGGTCGAGCGTGCAGAGCGGCCGGACTGGGCAGGAGTTTGAACAGTGGGCGTGGCATTCGTATTTTTGGTCCAGCTTCAAGCACACGCAATACAATCGGCAACTGTGGCAAACTAGTTGGCTTTAGTCCGCTTTCTTTTTACAACAAAACTCAATTTTAGTTTGGTTTTTTTTTTAAATAATTCTTCAATCATTTTTTTAAACAGTGTCCAGTTATTGTTGTTGTAACTGGCGTGAGAAAGTCACGCCCCAATCATCACGCCCCTTGCTTCGATAAAAAAAATGAAGAAAAACAAACAAATATCAATCATTGTCTCATGATATAAGAGAAGTAGTCAATTGAGAGAGAGAGAGAGAGAGAGAGAGAGAGAGAGAGAGAGAGAGAGAGAGAGAGAGAGAGAGAAGAGAGAGAGAGAGAGAGAGAGAGAGAGAGAGAAATAAATATAGTTGATGGTATTTTATAGGGTATTTAGATAGTTGTGCCCAATAGATAGTGAAAGAGAGAGAGAGGGAGAGAGAGAGAGAGAGAGAGAGAAAAAGAGAGAGAGAGTGAAATAAATATAGTTTATGGTATTTTATAGGGTATTTAGATAGTTGTGCCCAATAGATAGTGTGAGAGAGAGAGAGAGACAGAGTGAGAGAAAGTGAGGGAGAGCGAGAGAGCGATAGTCAATAGTTGGCTCTATGCAGGGTATCTAGCTAGTTCTGCTCGCCTTGGGTAGCTCTCCTAGAGACAAGAAATTCATCATTCAGTTCACAGAGGAACTTTTAAGCAGAAAGTGAAGTATCTTCCATCTCCGTTTATCCCATAGGCAACTTTACACTAAATTTAGTATGTTTAACTCTTGCCGTCCTCGACAGACTCTGGGCTCAGTTAAGGTACGGCTGTAGCTGCTGGCTATGCCACAATCGAGGCCACACAAATGGATGCTTGGGGCTATTGCTGCTGTGGTTGCTGGCTGCTGATTGTTGCTGTTGCTAATGTTGGTCATCAACTGAGCAGAAGTCACGCAACGAATTGGCGACAATTACCTAAGAGGCCAATGAGCACTCCACTCCTGCTCCACACAAGAATAGTCGACTGGCTGGTGCCCTGTGCTCGTAATTGCTTATGGAGCTACAAAAATTCTACGCAAAGGGTATAAAAACCGACGACAAAGGCAAAGAGCAAGACACAAAGCCCACTGATTGTTAAACAAATTGTTGGACAGTTATTAAGTTGTTGTTGTTGTGATCGTTGTTGTTGTCATCGTTGTTGTTGTTGTTGTGGTCACTTTGCATTGCGATGCTGGCGCCAGCATTTCCATTAGCCCAGGTCTTGTTAAGCGTGCGTGCGTGTGTGATTGTGTTTGTGTTTGTGTTTGAGTTCGAGAAACGTGACATAATGCAAAACAAAGGCCAAACTAAACAAAGAGCCAAAAGCTCTGTAGAAGAAGAAGAAGAAGCAAGAGAAGACGACTCTTTATGCTGATAAGCTAGCAGAATAGTTTGAGTGCAGCAGAATATTTCAGACGGGAGTGTGAGTGGAGCACAGCACAACAACAGGTGAACCACATGAATATATTACATCAATTACGTAAGAAAGCTTAACAAAAATTAAAAATAAAATTACAAAAAAAAAAAAAAAACAAATTTAAAAAAATTTCCCCGCCTCTGGCAGGACTCGAACTAGGAACTGTTTGAATACGAGGCGGGTGCCTTACAAATGTGTTAAGCTAAATAAACCAAATAATTGAACTGCTGTTAATACTGAATTAGTGAGAGCGAGATAGAGATAGAGTAAATGCAATAAATTAAATTTTGAATTTACTACAATATAATGAAAATGTCGTATGCAAAACTTCTATGAATTCACATGAGATGAACGTTTAATGGGACAATGCTTAATTTAAGCAAGGTAATATTTGAATGAGGATTATGAGGTGTTGCAAATAATGTGAATCGAACGGGATTCGAACCGGGGATTAATCGCCCTTGCCAAGCAATTCTTTGTAAGTTTGCCAAACTGATTGTGCCATAAATAAACAAACTGAGCTTGTTCTGTTGCAGTTGTAGTAGACCTGAGCAAGACTCGAGCCTCAAGTCGCTCGCCTGCAAGCCATAAACAGCAAATACAACAATAATTTTAATATTCCAAGTAATTTCCAAGTAACTTGTTGCTGCTTGCTTGAGATGGGAAATCGAAATAGGCAAGGCAAAGTTGGGTCAGCCCTATAAAAAGAAAATGCAGTCTGCATCCATAAAATCTTCCCCTTGTCCATGTTATGTTATAGCCGTCGCATCGTTTGATTTATCGCTTGATCTTCGAGCTAAGATCAATTATAATCAATAATTATTAATCTTTTTGTTGTGTGTAGTCTTATTTGCTGTCATGAACATTCCTTTGCCGTGTAGCAAATGGCATGAGTTGCATTTCTTGGCAACTTTCTTACCCCCGCCCAGGCGCTGACTGCGCAATTACAATAGAGAATCAAGGAGGGAGAGAGAGAGGTCGCCTCTGCAGCCCCCCCAAGCAGCCCCTTTGCACTGGCATTGCTCTCACACAACTATGCCAAGAATGCTGAGCACCTGTTGGCATCATTTCAGCCTTTGCATGAGCAAACGAGTTGCCGACCCTGAAATCAATGCAGTTCTCCATATGCTCCATGCGCCATGCTCGATGCTGTACAGCTATTTACTTGCTCAACTTTGTAGTGTGTGTGTGTGTGTGAGTCTGTGTGTTGTTTATCGACTGGGTGCATGGAACGTGCTGAGCTCGGCAGTAGAGATTGGGCCAACTGCTGCAGTCGACCAGCTGCCGTTGTACCCTAGAAAATGTGGGCAAAGGGCTATATGCACCAGCCCAAAATTTGATATGTGACGCATATAACATGAGCTTATTCCCAATGCTCTACAAAACTATCGCTAGAGGTGGCTTTTGCTTTTTGCTTTTGGGTTTTTTCATCGTATCTCGAGATCTGCTG